ACGTTTCTCCATATATGCAAATGCATAAACGCACACTGGCAAGAGGCTGTCTGTGTGTTCGCACTTTTTGTTATGCACTTTCAACTCGAGGGCTGAAACTTCGAGATTACGTGCCCACACCATGTGCAACCCCTCCCGTTTTAATACCGTCGCTTCTGTAAGGCAGGGTGCCACGTATGGACGTCTTAAAAAATATGCAAGTTTTTTGGCGGGGAAGCCATCTTGGGAACCAGAAGGACAGGGTGCTGAAACTTTGCAAGGATATTTTCTGTGCATGTCTGAGTTAAAGATTTCAAACTCAGCGCTAGGTGACGTGATTCTCACGTACGGGCACTTGAAAGTTTTTTCGGGGAAATTACCAGCTCGCCAACCAGCAAAACTGGAAGGCTGAAACTTCAAAAGTATATTTCCCTTCTGCGTATAACTTGAAGATTTCAAATTGACCCTCCCCCCCCCCTCTTTCCCGGTGTGCGTGATGCTCACGTACTGGCATGTAAAAGTTTTGGCGGGAAGATTACTAACTCGAGAACCAGAAAAGCTAGGAAGCTGAGATTTTAGGGGGATTAAGCTTCGGATATGCGTGGTTCTCACATACTGGCATTTAGAAGTTTTGACTGGACAATTGTTCACTGAACAGCTGGTTCATTTTCAAAGAACGACCGTTTAGTGGATATTGTTCATTTACTTTATGCAAAATTTATGATGATTACGTCAGTGAGCGCAAAAAGTAGGTGTAAAGCAGCAAACATTCATCCTTTTAAAGACCTTAGTACTTCAAGCCTGGTACAAAAACGCATGGTCGCACCGGCAAGCCTAGTGCATTCCAGCCTGGATTGTTTACCCGTGCGCTGTAAGGGATGTTGCTGAGCCTGTTAAATGCGGATTTTTGGAAGCACATTCATCGCAGAAAAGGTAACAGTTGAAACTGTCTCCATATTCGACCTTGAACACTGACGGCAACAATTAATTAACAGCATTAGCGTGCTGGCGATGCTCTTCTGAAGCTCGCTTACAAACAAACTGACGACGCGCGCCAGTACCAATTTACCATCGAAACGAGTTGCCCCACTGGCTGAATTTGTACTCGGTTTTGGCCGAGAAGCAAACGTCTACTTCACGCAAATTCTTCACTTCGACTTCCGTCCTATCATGCCATTTTCACTTTTTAAAAATCTCAGAATGTGGAAATAGCGGTCTTGATATTATGGGAGGTGACGTCTACCATAATACCAAGTCCACTGCTGCCATACTGTGATATTTTTAAAAAGCAAAAGTGGCATAACTGGATGGAAATCGGTGCGAAAGGGTTTATGTGCAATATATCACGAATTTGAAATCTGAGTATTATTAGAAGCAGCCGGACGTCTTTCAAAAATTCGGATTTGTTCCCAAAACAATAGATTCATCTTATCTTCTTCAGTGCATTATCTGTTGGATATGTCGCTGTCAACACATCTATGCTTGCTGATGGTTCTTCAGATGTCCGATTGGTCTTGCAAGAGTCTGTGCCTCTGCATGCAGCTTTTAGTATGCTACATCCCTCTGTTCGGCAAATGCTAAAGCACTTCCTGATGAATTACCGACTGGATAAGCTGCTCTTTATGCAACAATACGATGCATTGTCATCACAAGTATTATCAAAACAGCAAATAAGAACACATTTTTCAGGTAATTATCTGCTCATGCACAAGATCAGGACTTAGGACGTTCAGTTCTGCGTGGTAGCACATCTTGGTGACAGTGCAGTTCTGTAGGCAGATGCCATATTCTGGTGATTCGTCCAAGCGGTAAAGTACTTCTGGTGCGTCCTCTTAGCAGTTTCTTACACAGAAAACAGTTCTTGGTATCTTAGAATATTCGCAGTTACTAAAACTCAGTTCAGCGCGACTTGGCTCGACCGCGCAGTTTGCACTC